GGATGCATCTTTAATTGTATCCAAGAAGCAAGAACCCCAATGTCTGTAATTTCTGACCAACTCTAGCAACTAAATCCTGACGGGTCCAACACTGGACGCTAGGTTCCACCGGAATATTGAAAATATGGCGTGACGTACATAGAAAAATGCGGGTGAATTCGTAATCGACAATGAGTATTGAGTTTTGGGTTTCAGATTCGAGAAAGCGAGGTGTGTGTAATGATGAGAAAATCGGCCCATGGATCAAAGATTGGTGTTTGATGCATGGATTAAGAATGGGTTTGTGGACTAAGTGACATCTTCTGAGAAGGGAAAATTATGTAATTCCAGGTCTTTGAACATCACAATTCAAACATCAGGGACCAAGATTCATAATTCAAATATCAGGTATTGATATAATAATAAAATATTAAATATTGAAATTTAATTCCCAAACCCTTGTATTTTCATCCCTTTTGCTCTCTCGCTTCTCTCCTCTCTCTCTCTAACTTTATTCCATCCGATCGCCAGTCACCGCCCCTCTCTGGTGCTGTCGCCGCAGTGGCGGGTCAGGTGTGGTAGTGGTGGAGGCTGCTTGTGGTGATGGTCGGTGGAGGCTGTGGTTTCAGCTGGTAGCTTCGAGGTGTGGTGGTGTTGTTCGGTGGAGGCTGCTGTAGTTTTTAGTTTGCAGCGTCGGGGTGTGGTGGTGGTGGTTGTCGGTAGAGGCTGCTGTGATTCTCAGCTGGTAGCATCGGGGTGTAAACGCTGTGCTGCCAATTGCCAAAATATCGATTGAAAGCGCAACCGGTGCTTCGTGCAACTCCAGCGTTGACGCCTCGCACGTAGATCTGTAGTTTTGCCGATAAACACGTGGGTGGTGTGTTTGGGGATTTTTGTTTTTTCATGGCCCATGGGTGGAAATATTAAATATTGAAATTTAATTCCCAAACCCTTGTATTTTCATCCCTTTTGCTCTCTCGCTTCTCTCCTCTCTCTCTCTAACTTTATTCCATCCGATCGCCAGTCACCGCCCCTCTCTGGTGCTGTCGCCGCAGTGGCGGGTCAGGTGTGGTAGTGGTGGAGGCTGCTTGTGGTGATGGTCGGTGGAGGCTGTGGTTTCAGCTGGTAGCTTCGAGGTGTGGTGGTGTTGTTCGGTGGAGGCTGCTGTAGTTTTTAGTTTGCAGCGTCGGGGTGTGGTGGTGGTGGTTGTCGGTAGAGGCTGCTGTGATTCTCAGCTGGTAGCATCGGGGTGTAAACGCTGTGCTGCCAATTGCCAAAATATCGATTGAAAGCGCAACCGGTGCTTCGTGCAACTCCAGCGTTGACGCCTCGCACGTAGATCTGTAGTTTTGCCGATAAACACGTGGGTGGTGTGTTTGGTGGTGGTTTTGTGGTGTGGTGTAGTGTGGTGGTTGTTGTGTGGCTTGGTGATGGCGGCGAACGGGGATGGTGGTTGACTAGTGGATCTGGCGGCGACGATGGGGTGGAGTTGGTGGGGGTGTTGGGTTTGGGGTTTTTTGCTGGATGGTGGTTGTGTAGTGTGGTGATCTCCGTATTATTGGCGACGACGGTGTTGGTAGTGGACCTGGCGACGGTGATAGTGTGGTTGAGACGACGATAGTGGTTTCTTTTGGTGTGCTGTGGTGGAATTGGATCGGGATCGGGTGTGGTGTTGCGGTGGTATAGTGCAATTGACGATTGGATGGTGGTGGTTTGTGACCAAGTTGGTGCTGTATGGGACTGGTGGAAGGTGACCATAAAGTTTAGTCGAGGACCTTAAAATTTGACGAACTGTGACTAAAACAATAATCTGTGACCTTAAAATTTGACGATTTGTGACTAAAACAATAATCTGTGGTCTCAACGATTTTGTCCATGACCTTAAAATTTGATAATCTGTGACTAAAAAACATCTGTGACCTATAAAATTTTCGATTTATGACTTTGAAATAATTTGTGACCAATTAATTTGATGATATGTGACTAATAAATAAATATGTAAAATCTGTGACCATTAATTGTTTAACTGTGACTTTAATATATTTATTTAATAAATAATTTTAATTAATTAAATACCAACCTAAATTTTGAATTTTCAAACTTCTTACCTGGCTTTTGAAATTGTGTAAAAAATACACCTTAAATATGAATTTTTCCCTTCTGAGAATCCTTCGTTGTCGAAGGTTGTATTCTGGGCTTTGCATGTTTGTGGCTCCTTTATTTTTTTTGTATTCTATATCTACATTTTGATATTCAAGTGTCTGTGATTTACATGTAGAATTTCATGATTGAAAGGTCAAAAAAATTGTATTTCAACTCTTCAATGATGTTAAGCCACTTGTACATTATGGACATCCTTATAGACATCATAATATACATGTAGCATAATCCTTTACATTTTGACTTGGTTGAATTGAATGTGCGATTATACTGCATGTATCCATGATCATGTATAACAGAGTCAAATAGAATAAATGAAAAAAGATTTTATCCAATTTGTTAGTTAACATATGTTATTTAAATTATATTTAGAGAAAAATTGAATTTTATATAAAATGTCTTGTAATTAGTTAGCGTTTGTATGGTATTGTTATTTCTTCTATTTTTAACAATTTTTAAAATTCGTTATACGATGTTAAATAAAGTGTAGAGGAGTCTTATATTAACCGCATGTTGACTATCCTAGTGGATTGATTACTAAGAAAATCAAGCTAGACAATAAAGTGACTTATGTGCGTTTTTAGTAATTCATTCATTCTTTTTGATGAGGGTATTTCGATAGTTCTCGCATCAAACAAGGACGACCGCTCCAAAAGTGTCAAACAAGTGCTTAAAAACTAAAAGCAGGGTGCAAAGTGTATCGAGATCACATCAACTATTTCATCAATCATGGAATCAATAGCTTTGGTCTTGCTACTCATCTACGGGCATAAGAGAGGGAAGAAGAGAAAGCATTGATTTCTTTATCGGAGCTAACAATCGTTAATGATAGTACATCTTAAGTATTTATTTATTTATTTTTAACACATTGAGACCCTATTTACTCTTCAAGAAAAAAAGATTTATTTTTCGTTTTAGCCACTTAAATAGATGAGAATAAATAACTAGATTAATAATGATTTGTTTGCCATCGTACGGCATTCTTGAACTTTGTTATTTAGAACAAAATGTTATTGATTAGACTTTATCGTATCTTACCGCATACACAAGTAGCATTAAGAAGTTTAGTGCATCTATATTTATTCACAGCATACTCAATGTAAACAATACTCTTGCTTCAAAATTAAGCTCGACAAAATTATCAAGACCTCGTTTGGCCTCCTTTTTTTCAAATTTTAATGGCTGAATTTTATTTTTTTTAAAAAATATGTGGTTGAAAAAAAATGAAAAGTTTTCGATTTACATATAATATTTATTTTATAAAAAAATTGTGTGGTTGAAAATAAGAGAGAAAAATAAAAGAGAATAGGTCGAAATTTGAGTTACTTGTTATATCGAGCACTCCATTATCAAGTCTGAGCATCAATACTGAAGTTCTTTATTATGACTATAGATACACGTAGGGACGGACCCGAGGGATCCCATAGGATCACTTGACCTTCCAGTTTTTTTTTTTGGGGGGGGGGGGGGCTTGGAAGCTGCACGAGCCACGCTCCATCGAGGGTGAGCTCTTGGACAAATGAGCCTGGTGGCTTGGATTGCTCCATTTAACACCTTAATTATGATTATACAAATCAATGTCAACATCGACATGATCACTATGGAATATCAAATAGAGTTGAAATATTACATTCTTAATATCATTTTGAAATACTCATGGTCTAGTATTTCACGTCGTTAATAGTGTGCGAAATGGCCAATCATAACAAATGTTACGACGCGTCAAAGTTGGCCGTTCCAAACTAATATTTTGAAATTTTCAATAACAAGTTAACTTTAAAAAATTTTCGACAATTATACGTTAGTCATATCTATAAATCTTCTATATCATTTCGAAACTCATTTCGAGAAGTATATCATAAATATATCGAATGATTTAAATGAATATCGAAAATAGTTAAACGTATGTCAAACATGTATGCCAAAAAGAGACGTATAACTCCTCTTTTTTGAAAAAAAAAAATCAATTATTTTTTAATGCTTATTATTTTTACGAAAAATTTCTCAATATAATTTACATCATTTTATTAGGAAGTTTTATATGTAGTATGATATCAAATTTTATTTTTTTTGGACGTAAAAATTCTTAATAAAATTTTTATTACTTCATAGGAGTTATAAATTGTTATACTAATTTTTCATCTTAATTATTTTTATATCTAAAAAAATTTATATATAAAAAAATTCGATCATTTTTATGGTTTTTTATTATTATTGTTACATTTTCCTCTCGATCAATTGATTTTTTTTTTCAAATTACATTCATAAATTTTATTAGGAAATTTATTAGATTATTTTTTTTTAAAAAAAATTAACTGATTGAGAGGAAAAAGTAATAGTAATAAAAAAATCCTAAAAATGATCGAATTTTTTTTTATATATAATTTTTTTCGATGTGAAAATAATCAAGATGAAAAAGTAGTATAGTAGTTTATAACTCATATAAAGTAATAAAAAAAATTTGTTACTTTTTTTTGAAAGTTTGATTGTAATCTCCTAATGTAAAATATCTGTGTCCACCCCTGAATACACATTCATAGGGATACAAATTGTTTATACAAAAACTAGCTCCGATTTTACACATTCGACCATATTTGTCAAAATATTATAGAGTATGTGGCCAAACATATTTTCTTTAATCTTGAGTTATCAGATAGATGTCCAACTATACTAAAAATGTAAATACTAATAATAATTTTAAGAATTTCGATCCTATATCAAACGAATATTTGAAAGGAATAATGATCAAATGCATGGGTACAAAAGAACCTATCTTGAGTTGAATTAATTAATCTAGAAAAGTCGCTAATTTGCAAATTCTTACTATTTATCTACCTTTTCTGTTGGCCATGGAAATGTTCTTGTACACGCGTCCAAGATCTGTACGTTTACAGAACCCACAAAATTGGACTTTTTGTTCTTTATTTTCATTTTCTCGAACACATTAAATTCTTGCCAAGTAGGAAACCGCCATAATTTTTTTTTCCTTATTGCAGTGCACTATACTGGAAAAATTACCTGTTGTGCTCTGCGCATCAATTGTTATACACACTGTCGGTTTAATCGAAGATTACAGTGGAAATCACGTTTATCGAATGAATTGGTGAATTTTTCGATTAGTTGATTCAGAAATGAGACCTATTTCATCGTTTGAAGAAGTCGAGATCCAAACCCTAACCCTAACTCTAATTCCAGGGCTGCCAAATGATTTAGGGGCACTGATTTTAGCATTCATTCCATATTCTCATCACTCCCGCCTCAAATCCACTTGCAAATCATGGAAACGGTTCTTTTCTTCCAAAACCTTGATTTCTATCCGCCAAAATTATGTACTTCCCCCTCATCTGCTCTGTATTTTCCCACAGGACCCTTCGATTTCGTCTCCGTATTTGTTTGACCCCAAAAATCTCTGCTGGTTCCCTCTTCCTCCCATGCCCTGTAACCCCCATGTGTATGGTCTCTGCAATTTCATTTCCGTTTCTGTCGGGCCTCACTTGTATGTGCTCGGTGGATCACTCTTTGATACCAGGTCGTTCCCCCTTGACCGTCCTTCACCGTCATCATCTGCATTTCGCTTTGATTTTATGACGTTTTCATGGGATTCATTGTCCCCCATGATCACGCCGCGTGGCAGTTTTGCATGTGCAGCTTTGCCGGATAGCAATAAGATTATGGTGGCAGGGGGTGGGTCGCGGCACACAATGTTTGGGGCGGCAGGGAGCAGGATGAGCTCAGTGGAGATGTATGATATCGGAAAGGATGAGTGGGTGGCATTGGATGGGCTGCCAAGATTTAGGGCAGGATGTGTTGGTTTCTTTCTTGGAAGAAGGGAGTTTTGGGTTATGGGAGGATACGGGGAGTCAAGGACTGTCTCAGGGGTGTTTCCGGTGGACGAATATTACAGGGATGCGGTGGTGATGGAGTTGAAGAATGGTGGCAAATGGAGGGAACTCGGGGATATGTGGGAGGAAGGGGAGAGACGGAGACTCGGTAAAATTGTTGTGGTTGAGAGTGAGAGGCAAGATGTTCCCGAGATTTTCATGCTTGACAAGAGTGAAATATCCAGGTAAATGTAAATCTGCGAAGAATATTATTTTTACATGCTCCATGGAAATTGTTATATTCTAATTATGTGAATTGAGGTTTCTCCTCGTTGATGCATCTGTAAATTTTGGATTGTATGTTCTACGATTAGTGACTGAAATAGTAAATTAGGCAGGTGGCCAGCTTCATTAGATGAAGGATTTTGTGGATGATTCTAAGCTTAATTTAGCTTGATATTTGTACACTTTTGTATCCTGGCTTACTGGAGGCGCCTGCTGTTTTTGGTTAAATGTAGATAATGTTCCACTGTGTATCCTGTTGTCATTGATTAGCTCCGATTTTGGCTTCTTCTTCATTTTTTAAATTTTTTTTTCCCTGTATTTGTGTATTTGATATTTTGTTTACACGTAGAGGACATTTCTCCGTTTGTTCTTACAATATGTGAACTTCAATTTAGCTTATATTGAAACATGCTTTATTATATCTGCAAAATAGTATGTATATTGGGTTATCTGCAAAATAGTACACGCATTATTCATATTGAAAACTATGATCAAGTGGCACTTAGCCATCTTACCAGGTCTTTGGTTTTGGTGTAGATCTAGTTGTTGGAGACACAAATTTTTAAATACTAAGAGTTGAGGATTTGGACAAAATGATGCCTAGTATTGGGTATGCTGACTATTTCATGGAAGTCGCTAGCTAGTACAGTATACTCTCAAGATGTTGTGCATAAATTTGATGAGTGCAGAAGTATTAAGAGCCTGTTTGGTTTGGATTAAATCTGATTTTATCTAAGTCAAAGTCAAATAATCAATATTAACCACATTTTTCATGTGTCCCACAACTTTTCAACCACACATTTCAAAAACTTCCATCGCAATTTACTAAAAAATCTAATTTTAATATCCACCAAACACCCTCAAAAGTGTTACATTTTCAAATATGATTTTTTTGAGAAAGATATTGAGTAGGGACACATTTTTTTTAGTTGCTCAGTTTAATCACTAGCTGTATATTTGGCACTTGTGTTATGCATTCTAGACTTGTGTTCATTTATTAAGGGTTGAGAACATTTTCCATATCACTTTTGAGTGTTGTTGATGGCGACAAGTTCCTGTATTTTGAGACCAACCCTCCTTCCCTCTCCCTTGGAGTATTGTTTTTGTCATCATCTCACTCCTCCTCGAAAACTTGGGGAGGCTATATGTTCAGATTTGACGGACCCCTTAGTTTTCTATTTAATCAATTCCGCGTTGCTTCTTCTTTTTTTTTTTTTTTTTGCCTTCTATATTTATGTGTGAAAATTTAATTTTCCTGGTGGAAGAACTCAAGATGGCGTCTAGACAAAATTTGGTCATGGTATAAATCTCTAGAGATGCAAAAGTTTTTGTTAGGTGTTGCACACATTAAGCCCACATTTGTCCCCCATTATTTGAGATTATAATTTTAGAATAGTGTTATTTTAAAAGAATGTTTGGTTAAAAAGGAAGAAAAACTTCTAAGTTTATGTGTAATATTATTTTATTGGAGAATGTGTTGTTGATAAGAAGAGGGGGAAAAATTGATTATAATTTTAATAGGGGTCAAAAGGGGGCTAAGCCCTTGTTTGAGCCCCATTTTTCAAAACTCTTTTTTAATAACACATTTTCCAATAAAATAATTTTACACTTAAATCAAAAACTTTTTCTTACTTTTTGACCAGGCATTCTCAAGAAATCACCACTCAAAAATATATTTTTCCCCCAAAATGGAGCTCAAACAAGGGCTAAATATTTCGCATCTATAATAGACTTACAGGCAGAGCATGTGCTGGACGTTGGTTGTGAATGGTAAGCTGACTAGGGAGACAAAAAATGGAATAAAATGTTCATCTGAGACTTCTGTTCATAGACATATTTCTGCTGACCTTCTAAGAGCATGTCCTAAAAAAGAAGTAGCTTTGTTGTTTTCAATAAAGAAGTAACTTCTAAGCTTAGCCAAACATGTTTGGTTTTCTTGCTTCTTTTTTAAACTTTTAGTACAAAAATTGGATTTTTCAGAAGCCACATCTTACCCTAAAGAAGCAAATTTGCTTCTTTTGTGGGCTTGGCCAAACATGCTCAAAGCTATACGAATACTTCTAATATTTGAATGCCTCCTGGTGCTGGTTGAATTCGTGGGAGTGGGTGCACCAACCCTTTAAACTATCAAACATGCACAGAAAAAGAAGACTTGTCTGAGAGGTGAGCTGAGGAGAAGGTTGAAATTTTTAATAATATGACTAACAAAGAGGAAACCAGCGATTTTGGGAAGTGCAACAGCAACGTGCTAGCAATGAAGTGTACAAGAACAACAGAGTGGATTTTGAAGCCCCTGGATATGCTATGCTTCGGCTGAATGCATTCCCCTCTTGAAAGTAAAAATGAACAGAAGAAAGAAAATGGAAAAATACAAAGACGAAATTGAGCTTCACCCTCTTTTAATTTCTCTGTCGATCACCAAACTTTCGACTTATATTGGTTTAGACTAGATCTAATGGTCTAAATGGGTGTCAGCCCATCAAGACTCGTCTTATTTTTTGTGATCCTTACCAACTTATTGTCTTTAGCTACATCTATTTGGATGTGTACTTATATACTTCCTTTGTGTTTCAAATACCATGCAGATATGATATGACTTCTAATCGCTGGATAAAGGAGACAAGTGTGCCTAAAAAAGCTTCAGATGATTCATCAGTTGGGTTTGTCTCGTTAGATGGGGAGCTGCACTTACTTACTCTTGTGAATGGAAATGATTCACCGGAGAGCCGACGATCACGACAGCATAAGAGGTTAGCAACACTGTTAATACAAATATATCATCCTAGGAAGAGGACATGGAGATCCCTTGTTACAAAGCCACCCTTTCATCACCCTATTGATTTCAAAACAGCAGTTATGTGCACCATTCGACTGTAGATCCATTGATATCTTGATGCAATCTTATGCTGGATACTCTATTTGTACATGAACTCCATAGCTTGATGACTATATTAGTTTTCATAAAAAGATGTTTGCGGGAGCATGTAATTGAACAGGTATAAAGGGTTGTAAATACATGTATATTTCTTGTCTCTCTTCATATTTTAAACGTTTTCGTTGATGCAAAATCTATAATTTGTTTTTCTAGATTTAGATAAGTAGTTAGTTTCAATTAAAATTTGAGTGTAGCCGCCGTGGACGTACTATCGTGTTCAATTTACCAAACATAGTGTCTGCCGTCTTGTCTGTGGAATGGATTTGAATGATGTTGCTTTCTATGTGTTTATGTTTGTCTTATCAAACCCAACATATATTTGAGGCCAAAACTTGAAACAGTCGAAACGAAAGTTTGAATCAACTAATTCCTACTCTCCTTGTGAAACGAAAGCCCCAGTCAATTCAATTACTCCTTTTTTCTCTTTAATAGACAGTCAAAAGTTGCAATTGAGACCAACACAAGTAGTCTCAATTGTGAGTTATAGTATATCATTCAGAAACTTGGGTTTGTTTGAGCCTCAAATCTTTTTGAAAATAAATTTTGCAATAGTGATTATTCAGAATATGTACTTAAAAAGTAAGGAATTTTTTTGAATTTATATATAGAATTATGTTGTTGGAAGAATGTGATTAAAAGTGAACTTTTAAATAATAGGGCTCAAACATGGCTAAATCCCACCAATATTTGAATATTTTTTATGTAAAAAATTGCTGGATTTTGATCCATACCTACCATGGACCGAGTTGAAATTAACTTGTGAAAATGAAAAAAAAAAATAATAATAATAATAAATGACTTTATTCAATTATCAAGTCTCTGTTTGAATCTCATTATATTAAATTCTATTATTGTATACACAAAAATTTATATATAGAATTATGTTGTTGGAAGAATGTGATTAAAAGTGAACTTTTAAATAATAGGGCTCAAACATGGCTAAATTCCACCAATATTTGAATATTTTTAATGTAAAAAATTGCTGGATTTTGATCCATACCTACTATGGACCGAGTTGAAATTAACTTGTGAAAATGAAAAAAAAAAAAATAATAATAATAAATGACTTTATTCAATTATCAAGTCTCTGTTTGAATCTCATTATATTAAATTCTATTATTGTATACACATAATTTGGGTACATAAAAGTGTTCATATTCCTTAAGTAGAGTGGAATCCGCACGATGTAGATCTCACTTCATATCTCATGTGAGAGGTATGAACACCATTATGTATATAAATTATGAAACTAAGATTTATCCTAAATTATATTATATTTTATTTTTTCTCTCTCTTATTTTTAATTACATAATTTTCTATAAAATAATATTACATATAAATCAAATTTTTTTTTTTTTGTTTTTCAACCACTGATTTTTCATAAAAATATTATTCCATTCCAAAAAAGGGTACTACTCAGATTTGATGTGTATTGATTGTTCTTAATGCTTCTTTCATCTGGCCAATAATTGATTGAATTGGGAAAGGTGATGAGACCAAGAGGTAAATTATTTATTTAGACTGAAATTTAGAGAGAGAGAGAGAGAGAAATCATGAATTTTACAGAAGATAGTGATATAATTCTATAATTTGTGCGATTTTTTTATTGATTTCATGGCCGATTAAAAGCACTTTAATATGTTGAATTTTACAGGGGACTTGCTTATTTAAGTAATTCTAATTTTGCTCGAAAGAGAAGATCAAAGAAATTAGAGAAATTTTAAGTATTGTAAAGGTGTCTGAAAATGTTACGATTTGACTTCAATTAGCCTTTGTTTGATTCCCATTTTTTAGAACTCATTTTCGGCCTGACATTTTATGGGATTCACATTTTTTATCAAAATTTCAACCACATTTTTAACTAACTTTTATCAAAGTTTATTAAAAATTTACTTTTTATCTATACACAAAAAAGGTTCATTTTTCTATTTTGTAAATCCCTTATTTAATTTGTTTTACTAAAGAAAACATATAGACAAAATTCTTCTTCTTTTAAGATAATTTTCTTTTTCTAGGATAATGTCTTGTTACTGAATAATTATTTTAATGTAATGTTTATAGACTTGCCTTGTGTTTAAATGTTCAAATTTTAATTTAAATTATTTTCAAATTTTACTTTCAATCAGTCAATCCAAATATTGTTTCTTACTAACTGCGACAATTACTAAAAGATCTTCGTTCTAAACAGATTTAATTCTAGACTCTTATATTTCTCGTGTCCATAAATTAGCATGCAAATTTTTAAAAATTTCTGTGAAATGCAAGAAAGACCATAAATTTTAAACCAAATCTTATCTTTTTCCCGTTGTCACGACTCATTCAATTCCTTGATCTTATGCAAATCCCACTAGTCAATAGTCAAACTCTACGCCATGAAATTGAAACAAGAATAATTCAAGTCATACATCCTCAAAATTTTTTTTTTTATTCTATTTTCATGCACTATATATACATATATTATACATAGAAAACACACACAATTCGCAAAGAACTCCAATTAATTTGCATGTTTTCTCCCTATGCTTGTTGAACAAAATGAAGGCCCCAAATCTCCTCTTAGCAATCATAGCAATAATTTTTGTTCTAAACATTAAATCCTATGAAGCTGCAAGAATTCTTGAAAAAGAAGAAGAACAATGGATTAAAATGGGACATCTAGTTTTACCATCCTTGCAGACGCGCACCGTTCGCCCGCCTTCTCCGAATGGCTGCACGTGGGTGGGTAGCAGTGGTGGCAGGCCATGCCGGAGCTCTGTCAGCGAGAAGAATTTTGCAGGGCATATTATGGCGGCGCCTCCTCCACCACCACCACTTGCAGCTGATAATGCCTATCCAGAGCAAAGGGTTCAGTTTGGAATGGCTTCTGATAGGATATAAATGCCAACAACTACTCTTAACTAGCAATTACTCATATTTTTTCGTTCGTTCGTTCGTTCGTTCATTCTTTTTTTTTTTTTTTTGCTTAAGGAAGAAAAATATATCTTGTTTTAATTCTACTTTTGTAAGTGTAATTTGACGTATTTTCACAAATGATAAACATTTAGTCTGAGCATAACATTATGCTAATTGATATATCCTTTTGCATGGTTGCTGAGAAATATAGTTTTTTTTGTTAGATCTATATGATAACAATATAATGAATCTCAAATCAATATATTGAATCAATTCAAAAAGAAGAGAAGAGAAAGAGAAGAAGAATAAAGAGGGAACCAAAATCTATTAAGCCATCAAAATTAGGTTTTCAAAGAAAGTAAAAAAACAGGTTTTATACTACTACAAGGAAACCTAAAAATAATAGGAAACTTACAATAATAGGAAATTACATATTATGCTAAAATAACTAAATATAACACATGTTTTCATCCCCCCTCAAACTCAAGATGCTAAACCAAGAAGCGGCGAGAGTTTGTCACGCAAAAAGTGAAAACGATGAACCAGATGAGACTTAGTGAAGAAGTCAGCAAGCTGCAACAATGAAGAAACAAAAGGTAGGGAAATGGTGCCAGTCTGCAGATGATGACGAACCAGATGACAATCAATCTCAATATGCTTTGTGCGTTCATGGAACACGGAGTTGTGAGAAATCTGAATGACACTAGTATTATCACAATACATGGGAGTTGGGGAGGAATGAGAAACACCCATGTCTGCAAGTAACCATCGCAACCACACAGTCTCAGTGGTGGTGGATGCCATAGCTCGATACTCTGCTTCTGTAGAGGAGCGGGAAACAAAAGTCTGCTTCTTACTTTTCCAAGAGATAAGCGAATCACTCAAAAATACACAAAAACCCGTAGTGGACTTGCGATCAATGGGGTCGCTGGCCCAATCAGCATCAGAGTAGGCACGAAGCACTAAGGATGAGGTTGATGGAAACAAAAGACCCTGAAAGCATGTACCACGAAGATAACGCAAAATACGAACAACTGCTGCCCAATGAACTGTAGTAGGAGCTGAAACAAATTGACTAACAATATGAACAGTATAAGCAATATCAGGACGTGTGATGGTAAGATAAATTAGACATCCAACAATAGTGCGATACAAAGTGGGATCAGTCAATGGGACACCATCAGAGGATGAATATCGAGCATTGGACTCAAGAGGAGTATCAGCAGATTTATTATCAGTAAGACGAGCACGCTCAATGACATCCATAGTATACTTGGACTGAGAGATAAGATAACCTCTAGGAGAAGAAGCAATTTCGATCCCCCAAAAATAAGACAGTGTGCCCAAGTCCTTCATTTCAAAACAACAAGCCAATTCTGATTTCAAACTTGCAATTCCATCAACATCATCACCAGTAATAATCATATCGTCAACATATAGCAATAATAGAATGCGACCAGCTGAAGTGCATCTAAAGAATAAAGCGGAGTCATGATGACTGGATGTAAAACCAAGAGAGCTAACAACAGTGGGAAATTTTTCAAACCAGGCACAAGGTGCTTGTTTGAGGCCATAAAGTGCTTTCTTGAGTTTGCAAACAAATCCAGGAGTGTGAGAAAGACCAGGAGGAGGAACCATATAAACCTCATCTTGAAGATTTCCATTTAAAAAGGCATTTTTAACATCCAATTGAAAGAGACTCCACTGACGAACAGATGCAACTGCAATAAGTGTACGAACAGTGGTCATCTTGGCAACAGGAGCAAAAGTCTTCTCATAATCCAAACCATACTGTTGATTAAAACCTTTAGCAACCAATCTAGCCTTGTAGCGTTCAATCGAACCATCAGATTTGGTTTTAATCTTATAAACCCAACGACAACCGATAGTATGTTTACCTGAAGTCAATTCAACCAAGTCCCAAGTGTCTGTCTTATGTAGAGCAGAAAGTTCATCAGTCATAGCTTGTTGCCAAAGAGGATCCAAAATACCTTCTTTATAGGAAGATGGTTCAACTAACTTATGAATGGATGTTAGAAGATAGCAAAAGGACTCAAAATAACAAGAATAATCAAAATCAGATAACTAAGTAGACTTACGAATACGTTGAGGATAACGAGAAAGAGATGAAGCAGGAGCTGGATCAACAATCTCAGGCGGTGCTTGGGAAGCCATAGAAGGAGGAGGGGTAGCATGATCTGAAGCATGTGTACCTGTAGGAC